AATAAAATCTTAAAAAAAAATTAGTAACTACATTTTCAGCTCCTATTCCTTCTCTGGAAGACAACAGGTAGGGCTGAAAATCCAAGCTTCTAATCACAGGTTGGTCTTTCTGGTGATCAGTCCCTATCCAGTAGACCATCCAGAGTCACCTCATTAGAACAAAAGATGCTCCTAGTGTTCGTTTTTTTTTTTTTTTAAAGATTTTATTTATTTATTTATGAGAGACAGAGAGAGAGAGAGAGATACAGGCAAAGGGAGAAGCAGGCAGGCTCCATGCAGACAGCCTAATGTGGGACTCGATCCTGAGGAGTCCAGGATCACACCCTGGGCCAAAGGCAGGCGCTAAACTGCTGAGCCACCCAGGGATCCTTTTTTTTTTTTTTTTAAGATTTTATTTATCTATTCATGAGAGACAGCGGCGGGGGGTGGGGGGGGGGCGCAGAGACACAGGCAGAGGGAGAAGCAGGCTCCATGTAGGGAGCCTGATGTAGGACTCGATTCTTGATTCTCGGGACTCTGATATCACACCCAGAGCCAAAGGCAGATGCCCAACCGCTGAGCCACCCAAGCGTTCCAATCCTAGTGTTTTTATTACTCAGGAAATTACAAGGATTTTTAGGAGATCTGTGCCAGGAACCAGGGATAGAGACCAAATATATATATATTTATATTACCTGACAAGAAAAGACAATTTCTTCAATAAATGGTTTTGGGAAAACTTTACAGAAAAATGCAAAAGAATGGAAATGAACCACTATCTTTCATCATATACAAAAATTAACTCAAAATGGACCAAAAACTTGGCTGTTAACACCTGAAACCATAGAACTCCTAGAAAAAGACATCAGTCTTGATGGTGATTTTTTGGATTTGACATCAAAAGGTGGTAAAAGCAAAAATAAGCAAGTGGGACTATATCAAAGTAAAAAGCTTTTGCAGAGCAGACGAAAACACCAACAAAATAAAAAGGCAATTTACCAAATGGAAGAAAATATTTCCAAATCACATATCTGATAATGGATTAATATCCAAATTATATAAATAACTCCTATAACTCAAGAGCAAAAAACCCCCAAACAACCTGATTAAAAAATGGGTGGAAGATCTGTACAGATATTCTTCCAAAGAAGACATACAGACGGCCAAAAGTACAAGAAAAGGTGCTCACCATCGTAATCATCAGGAAAATGCAAATCAAATCACAATGAGATATTACCTCATACGTGTTAGAGAATGGCTATTATCAAAAGCCAAGAAATAACAAGTGTTAACAAAGATGTGGAGAAAACATAGAGCTTATTTTTTGCTTAGTTGCTTTCAAACTTGACACGAATCAGAAATTCCCTGGATGGATGTTAAGTGTGCAACTCTTTTTTTTTTTTTTTAAATATTTTATTTATTAGTGAGAGACACAGAGAGAGAGGCAGAGACACAGGCAGAGGGAGAAGCAGGCTCCCCGCAGGGAACCTAATGTGGGACTCGATCCCAGGACTAGGATCACACCCTGAGCCCAAGACAGGAGCCCAACCGAGCCACTCAGGTGTACCTCCCTGTATGGATGTGAAAAAAGACTGTTAAAACGGTTAGTAATTCAGTAAGCCTTGGGTGGGGTTCAATAATTTGCATTTCTAAAGAGTTCCCATATGATGCTGATGCTAGTGGTTCAGGGACTACACTTTGAAAACCACTGTTCTAGTGAAAGGACAAATAATATACTATAAACATCAGAAATACATAAAGTGTCTAGTATGTTAGAAGATATGAGCTCTAGGAAAAAAAGCAAAAGTAGAGCAAGATAATAGCTCATACAGAGCTGGTATTCTTACGTTTTATTTAAATAAAATATCCAATTTCCCAAACAATAGTGATAATGGCTAATGGCTCTTGTCAGACAGTATTCTAAGGGCTTTACATATATTAACTAATTTAATCCTCAAAAAACCCTTATGAAATAATTACTATGATTTATCCCCATTTTGCAGGGAGAAGTTTCTCAAAGACTGTGTCTTTGACTACTGTATTTCTGTGCCTAGCTCAGGGAATGCTGAATAGGTGCTCAATAAATATTTCGCAGATTAGGGAATCCCTGGGTGGCTCAGTGGTTTAGTGTCTGCCTTCAGCCCAGGTGTGATCCTGGAGACCCGGGATCGAGTCCCATGTTGGGCTCCCTGCATGGAGCCTGCTTCTCCCTCTGCCTGTGTCTCTGCCTCTCTCTCTCTGTGTCTTTCATGAATAAATAAATAAAATATCAAAAAATATATATATATATTTCACAGATGAATACAACTTTTAGTTGAGTACTTTTTATTAAGTACTTTTTGAGAAGCCCAAACGTCTTAAGGAGATACACAGGTCCCATAAAAATCTGGCTGTGTCTCACTTTACTCATCTACTATTATTCTCCCATACATACCCTAAACTTCAGTCATGGTTGTGAGTATTCAATTTTCTATTCTGTTATTCCTTTTTTCCATTTCCCCTCTGTCTTGCAAACTTCCATTCAAACCCTTATACTCAGTTCTCCTTTCTGCAAAGCTTCCCTCTCCCAACACGTAAGTAAGCCTTTTCTTTATGGTCTCAAAACTATCTTAGGACCAATCAAAAACTTTGTTGTAAATTTAGTCCCATTTAAGGCAAGAACTCTTGAAACTCCTCAGGGTCCAGACAGTGACTGATATATAATTCTGAAGTATTTATTGAAAACTGATTGAGTTCAATTACAGAGCATAAGCTAAACCCAAGAGCTGTGTTATGTACATTATTCAGAACCTAATAATTCATGATGGAAATTAAAGCTCTGGAAAGTGTATGAAGTAATCTCAGAATTAGAAAAAAAGGATTCATAGATGAAGCACTGTATGTTTGCTCAGCTACATTCAATTTATTCAACATATTTACCGAGTAGTATGAGCAAAGTAGTAACCAGAGATTGAAAGCTATTAAAATTCTTATCGGAACCTATGGCTATGTGTACACTATATTTACTTACCATTACACAACTAAGTCTGGAAACAGCAACCTGTACTAAGGGTATTTTGTACTTGGGTAGATATTCATACCTTTTTTTAAAAAATGTTTATTAAAAAAAAAAGATTTATTTATTTATTTATGATAGACAAAGAGAGAGAGAGAGAGAGGCAGAGACACAGGAGGAGAGAAGCAGCCTCCACGCTGGGACTCCAGGATCGCGCCCTGGGCCAAAGGCAGGCGCCAAACCGCTGAGCCACCCAGGGATCCCCTATTCATACCTTATTCATACCTTTCTGATTGTCCTCTTTGCACCAACGAGAAGGTTAGGTAGATGATAAAGGCGAATATAACTCGGTTTTCTATTTTTCAAAATGGAATACCCTTTTGCACTATTTGCCCTTCCAATGAACGTTGCAAAATGTAATTCAGCACCAAGCTGAAAAAACAGTCAATTTTTCAACCATGTAAACCAGATCCCATCACCCATCACTCTTGCTCAGTACCCTATTGGTGCCTCCCATCACATTTAGAAAAAGGTGCAAATCATTCACTAGGGTCTACAAGGCCACACGTGATCTGGCTCTGCCTCTTTTTAGCCTCATCTGCTACCACTGTCTCTTTTGCTCATTTCATCCAAATAAACTGGCCTTCTTGCTCTTCCTAGAACCCACACAGCTCATTTATCCTTAAAGACCTTTGCAAATGCTATTCTGTCCTCCTCACACTCATTTCTTCCAAATTTTCCAATGGTCTACTCCTTTACTTCATTCAAGTCTCTGCTCAAACGCCACCTTCTCAGAGAAGCCCTTCACAGCCACCCTATTTAATATTAAGATCCTCCTCTCCATTCCTTTCTTTGCCCTGCATTACTTTCCTCTTAGTATTTATACATTATCATTAACCCATTAGAACAAGGATTTATAAGTCTCTTCATTGCAATAATCTGCAACATCACCAGCATTTCGGAGAGTGCCTAGAACACAGCAACCTCTCAATAAATATGTGGAACATTCTCTGGCATTCTCACCAGAGTCATTCCATTCACACAACCTCAGGAAAACTCAGAGGAAAAAAAAAAAAAAAAAACACTTAAGCTCTGACTCTTTTTTTTTTTTTTTTTATGATAGTCACACAGAGAGAGAGAGGCAGAAACACAGGCAGAGGGAGAAGCAGGCTCCATGCACTGGGATCCCGACGTGGGATTCGATCCCGGGTCTCCAGGATCGCGCCCCGGGCCAAAGGCAGGCGCCAAACCGCTGCGCCACCCAGGGATCCCTTAAGCTCTGACTCTTAAGTAAAAACAACAAAACAAGGTCTTATCAGCCTTGCCATCAAGATCTGTCGGTTCTGAGTGGCAAAGAGCCACAGCGGGTCTTCCTATAAGTTTAACTGGAAAGGTAACTCCTCCAGGTAAAGCTTGCAGGTAACTCGAATTTTGAAATCAAGGGACAGGAAATAGTCTAAACAGAAAGTTCCTAAGAGGACCACACCTAAACACACAATCTTGATTTTTAAGACCATCTCGCCCTCGCCCTGATAATTTACCAACCCCAAAGTTATTTTTCCTTTGGCTTCTTAGCCCTTTTGGTGCTACGGATCCTTTGCCGGTCTGGTGAGAACTATGGACTTCTCCTGGGAATGCCCTTAAATGCATGAAAAGCAAAATATACATTTACGAAAGAAACCAATTTTACTCAAATATAGGGTCGCAGATTTATGCTCTTCTTGCCACGACGAAAATAAGAAAGTTCCGACGGTTACAGTAGGATCCAGAGGGAGAATCCCTTAGGAGACCACACTCTGAGGTCCATCCCCGAGCACCCTCAAGTGGCGGCAGGGAAGCCCTGGGCGCCGAGACCCAGCCTACCCTAGGGGGCGTGTCTGCGGAGGAGCGCGGGAGGGGCGAGGGCGAGGGCGAGGGCGAGGGTCCTAGGGCCCCGGAGGGAGGCGGGGGCCTCTCATTTCCAGAGCGCTCGCGGGGCCAGGCATCATCCCCCCCTCGCCCGCTGCTCGTCCAGCCCTCGCCTCACCTGTGCCTGCCATCCCCAGGAGCCGCTCCGGCACCCCTCGCAGGTCTTCATGGAGGCCGCGGAAGATCTCGTGAAGTTTCTCGAAATGCTCCGAGGAGACGGCGGAGGTGGCCATGGCGCAGGCCGCACTCGAGCAGCGGCCGCCGAGATTTGGCGCTCTGGGCCCGCTCCTATTCCGGCGGCCAGCCGCCCAGCCCCGCGGGCATCACGGCGACCGCCGCCGCCACCACCGCCGGCTACGAGGCGCTTCCGGGGCCGCGACGGGGTCCTCCCGAGCCGGAACGCCCACCCCCTTCATTCCGTCACTGGGAGAGCGCCAGGCGCGAAAGCCTGACGGAAAGTTGCGTGGGCTCCTCGCTCGGGCGATTCCGGGGAGGGTGGCAGCACGTCGGGCGAGCGGCAGCCCTGCACTCCCGAAAGTACCCGATCCAGGGGAGGGAGGGAGCGCCACAGCGTAAAGGGCTGTGAGGACCCGCGGGGCGGGCAGCGCGGCCACCTGTCCCCAGGGCCCCGCCTTCCTGTGAGGGCAGGGCGCTGCCGTGCATGCCGGGAGCTGTAGTTCGGCGCGGAAGACGCTCGGACTCCGAGGCCCCGCGTAGGCGGGGGCGGTGGTTCTGTCAGGCCACGGGCGCAGGGGGCTGTGCTGACCCGAGGTGGTTTGGTGTCTGCAAGCTCCTGAAGGCCGTCTTCGCTGTCATCGCACCGTTTGGCCGCTCTGACTGCTAAACGTTAGCTGTCAGCCCTGGAAAAATAGCCGGGCCAGGTTCCAGCTTGCCCGCGAGCGGTAGAGGACTTCGGGGAGGCCAAGCGAGGAGGCCAAGCGAGGAGGGTCACATGCTTTCCGAAGTTGTCCCCGGGCAGCAGGACTGCAAAATATGCGCTCGGCCTCCAGCGTCTGGGCTCCCGGATGCAGCCACTCAGCAGGGTCTTTGTTAGGCGTAGTCATGCTGGATTTGGGCCTATGTTGGTGAATAAAGGGCACTCTGCACTTGGTTTTTTGTTTTTTTTGGTGATGTGGGGAGCAAAAGGCGGTGACCCGCTTCGTCAGGTCTCTTTCCCACTCTGTATAATGTGTTAACAATTACGAAGTCCTTTTCTGCACTCACTACATTGGTTTTCACGGTTCGGTGGTGGGAAATTCCTATTTCCAACTATTTCATGGTTTTCCTATCGAAGCCCTCTCTGAAATATCTGCTTGGCAGCCCAATATATAAAACTGCCCAAACATACTAAAAGATAAGGGACTGTTCAGGGGGAGATGATCTGGTGACTTAGATCTCCTGGACCTTTATTTTTATTAGACTGATTCATTGACCACTGATTCAACAAACAAACACGTTGAGCGCCTAATATTCACTGAGTATAGAGAGCAAACTCTGAAGTTGTTAGTGGAAGTGTACTGTGATAAGTCCCACGGCATCGTTACAGAAGGGGCAGGTACAAAAAGGCAGCCCGGGCGGCTCAGCGGTTTGCGCCGCCTTCAGCCAGGGCCTGATCCCGGAGACCCGGGATCGAGTCCCACGTTGGGCTCCCTGCATGGAGCCTGCTTCTCCCTCTGCCTGTGTCTCTGCCTCTCTCATGAATAAATAAAATCTTAAAAAAAAAAAGAGAGAGAGAGAGAGAGAGAAACAGAATAGCCTCGGATGGAATAAAGGAATCTTTATTCTTTAAACAGCATCATAAAAGACAGGTAGAAAATGGGTGAATCAGTGATCATGTTATCACATGACCAAAGTTAATGACATTTGAATTGAGACTGTGCTGTGGTGAGACTCTGGGACAAATTACCCTTAAAAATGAGAAGTGACTGTATAACCCTAATAAAAGTATTTTCGTCTTATGACTAAACTTTCATTTATTTGTTTTCTTCTGTTAACTCTAAACTTTAATTCTTACAGTTTTTATTTTGGCAAATAACATAATCAAAAAATTTTTGTCATTGACAGTTCAACATAAATTAAGTAAAATATTAGTTCAGTTGTGCTACTTATTAAAATTTTCCAATTTTTCCATAAAACCACTTTTTTTTTTACCATTTCTAAATATATACCTTAATAGTCAAAACAAGTTCAACAAGAGAATGTTCATTTACAAATATGAGAAGACTGTGGTCTTATAACTTTTTCCCACCAAAGTGAATATCTAATTGTCAGTCCATGGAAAAAATCAAAATCACAAACTACTAGAATAACATACTCCAAGCAAGTGATGGGAACATTCCAGATTCCTCCAATTTCCTTTGGCAGCATGACCTTTGATAAAAGTTCTCCAAATTAAATGTATATTTTTACCAAATAGACATTTAAATCTTGTCAATGTAACATATGGAAATGCTCTGAAGATTATGAAATTGACTGTAAATTACTCATATCACTCCTTAGGATAATTTTACCAAATAAAGAATTGTTTTGTTTTGGATCTTTTTCTGCCACATTGATTGGTGCTTATTAAGACAGAGCAGTATGAGTCTTGCTAACTCGAGTGCTCACCCTCAATTCTTCCATAGTTACATATACCCATCTTTAGCTGTGTCTTTGCTTTTTGAGTCCTTAACTAGTCCTTTCACTGCATTCCGGAAGAATCCGGGATTCTTCTCTTTTTTGGACTTCTTCCCTGCTACCCATGCGCTTCTTGTTGAGTAGTTATCCACATACACAGAATCTGCTTCCCTTTGCAGCTTTACCCATTTGCATTAAAGATAGGATGTCACTGTTTACTCCATCTTTGAACACTTACCTGCACTGAGTCCAGTTTAATACAGTTCCTTTGTAGCGATTTTGAATTTTGTGAAAATAATCCCAACTCCCTAACTACATAAGAACACACAAAGATATACACAGTGACAATCACCAAATAGCCTTTCCCTTCTTCTGATTTTCTAAGAGAAACTAAGGCACAAAAAGGCCTCCATGGGTCTGGGGTCAGTAAACTGAAATCAGGTAGGTGGTCTATCTTCCCATACTACTCCTTTCTTTACCCACTTGCTGGCCTGAGAAACAGGAAAATGACAGTTTAAACTTGATTTTTATTTCTGCCTTCCCCCAAATTTCTGCCATCCTTCCAATTCCACAAACTTCTTAGAAAAGGAAGCTCTCCTGTAATCTAGACATGTAAAAGTGTCTTAACAGCAGTGGCTTTAGGTTGTCAGAGATAAAGCCATGCAATAATCCAGATTCAGTTATGAGTTTCCTGAAAGAATCTAGATGTTGGCATATGACGGTTTTCTCAATAGATGAGGGATGCGTCCTCACCTTGGCTGCTCTTGAGCCAAGCCACTATTACCCCTGGAGTTCACCTGGGGCTGCAGTGTGGACCTCTTGAAATGAAGGTTGGTCAGTGGTCAGGAGGATAGAAAGTAGTCCAAACTGCCATAAATTGACCCTGCCATAGCTAAGATTCTCCTAAGTGGTAGGTTTCAGGAGGCGAGTATGAGTTTGCAGGTCATATGAGGATCTTATCCTATAATATCTCTTGTAACTCTGGCAGTAATAAGAGTAAAGTAAATCTGAACTAATGTAAGGTGTTTTGATGAATCTGGCAGTGTCCACTGGGCTCTTCTCAGACATTGAGCAGGCAGGGATAGAAAGTTTGTTCTCTTTGTGCTCAAGGTTTTGGCCCTCATGAAGGAGAATCATTTTGGCAGGGAGTACTCAGTAGTCTACTGCATGTTCCTCCTGAGTCCAACTGCTACCACCTGTCAGTCTATAGGGATGCCCAGCAGGTCACAGCTGACATCCCATAGCCGCCTTGCTATTGTCTCATTCCGAGCCTGGGCAGAGACCCATGCCACACTGCAGTCACTGGAAAGGAAAGACAGAGGCTTAGAACACAGCGTTTAAGAATGGAGTCTGTTGTTCTCTGACTGGAACAAGGAATGTGACAGAAGAACAACCAAGGGACGACATATCTTCTATGTACTTCATAGGGCCAGTCTTTGTCTTATCTCTTCATTCTCCAATCCTTACCTCTGAGAAAATGTAATTATCACTGAGATCTCCTCACCAGGCTACCTTTCATCAGAATGTCTAATATATAATGCATAGCATTTAGTCTTCATATTCTCCTTTATATGTATATATTTATTTATTATTATTATTATTTTTAATGATAGTCACAGAGAGAGAGAGAGAGGCAGAGACACAGGCAGAAGGAGAAGCAGGCTCCATGCACCGAGAGCCCAACGTGGGATACGATCCCGGGTCTCCAGGATCGCGCCCTGGGCCAAAGGCAGGCGCTAAACCGCTGCGCCACCCAGGGATCCCTATATGTATATATTTAACTATAACATCAGTGTCTGACTGACACCTGTGTATGTCCAGCCTGTTCACACAGGACTTGTACTGTGTCAGGTTGCAGAGATTACATTGGTTACAGATGCTCAGAGTGGTTAAAACAAACAAAAACTCCTCTGAAACCTACTATTTCTGGTCTACATGCAATTATAACTTTATTTTTCTATTTTTTTTTTAATTTAAATATTTGAGAGAGAGAGAGAGAGAGAATATGAGGCGGAGGGGTTAGAGAGGGAGTGGGAGAGAGAGAATCCCAGGCAGACTCCTCAATGAGCACAAAGCCCAGTGCAGGGCTCAATCTCATGACCTTGAGAACATGACCTAAGCCAAAACCAGAGTTGGATGCTTAATCTACTGCACCTGTGCCACCAATTATAACTGTTTCTAAACTCAAATAACAAGTAAAGCCAGCTTCATAAACAACAAAGGAAGGAAAAGATTGATAGCATAAGAGAAATGTAACAATAAGGTACCAAGTGTTTTCATATACTTTCTCTTCATTGTTGTAGTCCTAACTATTTTAAGTCTCTATTAAATGCAGGAGGGGTATACAAACTGTGCACTGCCCAGAAAATTTTCTCAAGGGAAAGTTTACTCATTTTTGTATTTGCTGCATCTAGTACATGGCAGGTATTCAATAAAGGGTTTTTTTTTAAAGTGATTGAGTAACAGATTGCAATCTTTTAAGTCACATAAGAAGCAATTTTAAGAATTATACTATTTCAAGGAAATTGCTTCCAAGACATTTTAAGCAAATTCTGAAGGTGAAAAGGAAAGTTGGCAAGTCTTAAGTAAGCACATGAAGCAAACTCCTAACATTATGTCCAAAGAGACACTGCTAATCAAAGAGTGGGTTATGGACTACCAGGAGCATCATCTGGGAGATTGCTAGAAATGCCAATTCTCAGGCCCCATACAAACCTGCTAAATCAGAGTCTCTAGGGTAGAGGCCCAGGAATCTGTTTTCAACCACTTCCTTA